GGACCACTCTTGTATAAACATCCTTCCTGTCTATATGTATAGTAGAACCTTTCCTGTATGAACATCCTTCCTGTCTATATGTATAGTAGAACCTCTCTTGTATGAACCTCCTTCCTGTCAGTACAGTATCACCTGTTTTAGACATGTCCTGTACATGTCTGATTATACTCAGCGTTGAAGGAGAGTAGATCAGTACTAATGGATGTCAGTGACATTAGGACAAGGTTGTGTAGATATGACAGGAGCAGAGTGAAGTTATATATATAATTACATACCTATGGCAACTTCCTCTTTTTGAAGTTTCTCCTCTCGCCTCAATGCATGTGAGACAATGTTAAAAGTGATGTTAGGCTGTTCCAGGAATCTTGTAAGCGCTGACAAAACAGACACTTTAATGTCGAAAATACAAGTGTATAGGGAAATATCTGTATGTAGGTCAGCGAAAAACTTAGCATATAAATATAATGATTGAACAGCATTATTCCAGTGTTTATACCAGTATGAACCCAAATCGGTAACAAACTTATTCAATGAAGCCCACTGCTAATTTTGTAGATGAATGGAATTGTTCAGGATATTTTGGAGTTTTCAACATCGGTAGGCAACATGATATACAAGGAGAAGGAAGGGGTAAGTTCATAAAAATTATATATCTCCGTAGGTTCACATGACTAACATGTTTAAACGATATAGATTGTGGTAAGTGCTGAACATTTTACAGTTTAACTTCGCTGTTATCTAACCAGTACATGTATATCATGTGGACGCTGAGATTTTCTTAAAACTGTTTAATATCAGAGACATACAGAACCACCAATAGAGTAAAGGGTACAAGATAAACTCTACTACTATTGTCACTATTGTGGATTATTTGTTAAAGTCCTTTTTTTTTAAAAAAGAAATAAAAATCACATTTTCTTTTAATGAAATTTACAGAATAATAGTTGAAATTTGAATGTTTGAAAATAGAATTAAAAAGAATTGGAGAAAAAAATTGCAAGAGTGAGACTCTAGAGTTGGACCTTTACACTGCCATATCTAATTGTTAAATGTATGGTTGTCTTTAATGTTGAGAATCCCCATACCACAGCAGAATGCTGTAACCATCAAGTGTTGGAAAATGTTTTTCTGGCGTGACATTACACGATAGCTTTGAGACATCATTTCAGAAGACAAAACCATAGCTTCTGGGACTGAGAAATCATAAAGATAAAATAAATAAAATGAAATCAATAACAGTGTTCTGAGTAAAAATTCAGCATGGCTAGACCTGGGTTGGAACCCCAGACCTCAGATTGCTATACTATCGCTCAAACCAATGGAGGTACAATGTACCTGGTCAACAGAAGTGTCCTGGCCCCACTTGCTACAGTTGTATCATAATTGAAGTTTAGGGGAGGTAACTGTATAAAGGAAAAAACACAGTGCAGTGGGACATGGATCATTAAGGGGAGGTTACTGTATAAAGGAAAAACCACAGTCCAGTGAGACAGGGATCACTAAGGGGAGGTTACTGTATAAAGGAAAAACCACAGAGCAGTGAGACAGGGACCATTAAGGGGAGGTTACTGTATAAAGGAAAAACCACAGTCCAGTGAGACAGGGATCATTAAGGGGAGGTTACTGTATAAAGGAAAAACCACAGAGCAGTGAGACAGGGACCATTAAGGGGAGGTTACTGTATAAAGGAAAAAACCACAGTCCAGTGAGACAGGGACCATTAAGGGTAGGTTACTGTATAAAGGAAAAACCACAGTGCAGTGAGACATGGATCATTAAGGGGAGGATACTGTATATAGGAAAAACCACAGTCCAGTGGGACAGGGATGGAAGTTAAGGGGAGGTTACTGTATGTAGGAAAAACCACAGTCCAGTGAGACAGGGACCATTAAGGGGAGGCTACTGTATAAAGGAAAAACCACAGTGCAGTGAGACATGGATCATTAAGGGGAGGATACTGTATATAGGAAAAACCACAGTCCAGTGAGACAGGGATCATTAAGGGGAGGTTACTGTATAAAGGAAAAAACCACAGTCCAGTGAGACAGGGACCATTAAGGGGAGGTTACTGTATATAGGAAAAACCACAGTCCAGTGGGACAGGGATGGAAGTTAAGGGGAGGTTACTGTATGTAGGGAAAACCACAGTCCAGTGAGACAGGGACCATTAACGGGAGGTTACTGTATATAGGAAAAACCACAGTGCAGTGAGACAGGGATGGAAGTTAAGGGGAGGTTACTGTATATAGGGAAAACCACAGTGCAGTGAGACAGGGATCTTTAAGTTCTAGTTTGTTAAAACATTGAAAAATTTATATCATGATATTATTCCTTTCCATATCCAAGTCATAGATTTAAATCCTGTGGAAATTTAATATTATACTGTACCTCCGTAATAAAATGTGAAGAGGATATACTGGAATCTGTCCATCTGTCCAACATTTTACTTCCACAATTCTTTACCCATTTTAATGCAACATAACACATTAGCGCTACCATATGAAATTTGTTCATTTATGATGAATTTATTATTGTGGGAGTTATGTCCCTTTCTGATGTCCAATCATACACAATTTTGTCCAGCATACCACTTCGGTTCTTGACCAATTGTAACAAAATATAGTACAGTTTTAGGCATTTTTTGGGAATTCATAAATGCTTCTTTTCCCATTTTTCTTTTCATTTTCAATTCTAAAGAACTTGTTGACATGCCATTTTGATGATTTGTTATATGGCGGGAACAATGCATGGGCTCATATGAGCTTGCCTTCGGCTTAGATACCTAGATTATCTATGTTTGTATTTTAGGTTAAGTAACCTTTTATCCTCGTATTTATTTTAAAGTTTTCTCATGGCACTCTTTATAAGTTTTAACATAAAAAAAAATCAACTGATGAGCCATCACAAATCTTCCAGGATCAAATACAGCAGCCAACACTGAAAACGTTTGATTTTGGTCAAAACCCAATCGCTGGAAAAGGCAAAGGAAAGCAACCAATCACTGACCGCAAAGAACTGGAGGCGAAAGACAAGAAAAGTCAGGTGTTCTTCCTTGGCCAAAAAGCTGTGGGCGTTATACGGGAAATCTACGACATCCTGTCTAAATCTCTAGATTTGTTGGTATGTCGTGTCAAATTCTTTCCAAGATTAAATTGGATTTTCTGGACATGTTAGGAGGGTACTCAACTCAGATTTCAGTATGCTTGTATTCCAGGTTGTAGAGAAGTGTTTGACTGACTCGTATGTAAACTCATAAATATGCAGTCTTATCTTTAAATTCTTAATTTATATAAAGATAATACAACTTTGTCCTTTGGAATGATTCTTAGTTTGGAAATTGCTGTGTATAAAATGATAGAACCATCATTTTTATTCCCCACCCGATTGTTTTTGCTGTTACTATAGAAAAAAAAGTGCCAGAAATCCAAAATTCATTATTTCAAGAGCACATCTCAAAAACTTTCAAAGGGAACATCACAAAACATTTTATTTACATCAATCTGGTTGTATTGTGCCTTTTGCTATTTTTCGTCGATATTTTTTCTGTTACCATGGAAACAAATTGTGACAAAAATGCAAATTACCATTTGTGGAACAAATCTCAAAATACTTTTAAGATAACATTATTAAACTTGACATGCATGCTAAATAATCTAGTAGTCTAGTTATGACTTAAGCGATCAGTGAGATTTCTTTTTCAATGTTTTCCTGTTGCCATGGAAACAAATACATGTATCTAAAGACATAATGTTTCATTTTTGGAGCATATGTCTTAAACAATTCAGGTTTTCTACAGAACATTAAAGTCATTAAGATGCAAGACCTGACACAATGATGATGTTTCCTGTATTATTTAATGACAGGTTGTTTAAAAAATCCTTTTTACAATATCATACACAACACTATACATCTTCAGCACACATAGAGGCATTAACACACATAGGGAGATATTAGCCAGGTGGCATAGGACTAGTAGTTAGCGCCGGATATTAAGGCAGCTCCTGCAAATTGTCTCATAATTGTATTGATTAATGTATATATGCTTAATTGTATAATTGTATATCTATGCGCTGTAAAGCGCTTTAGAGTGGCTTATGTTAGCTAGATAGGGCACTATATCAAATGTTGAATATTATTATTATCATATTGGGGGCTTGTGTCTTGATTTACCTAATCCACATCCTTACCTATGTATGCATGGGCAGCTTCCTATCTTAACTTCCTTGGAAATTTAGTGGTTTTGAACCATGGTTGACCATCATTTAGGGTAATGGCAACAACGTTGCCAGTATTATGTGACTGGGCGGGATGATGTGCTGGGTGCCTTCGGCATGGTATTTCAGTGACATAGCAATTTAAAATCGGCATCAGATTTGCGCTATCACAAGGAGGCATGTACACCAGCATACCCCATCTCCAGCACACATACACACATGCACGCATACACAACACACATTGAAGCACATATTTAAATGACCTCAGCTGTTAATAGGACGTTAAACAAAACAAAAGCAAACCAAACCATGGAAAACCATGACTTACCATGGCTGTACAACCATGGTTTCACAATAAATGGTCAACCATGGTGTGACATTTTTCATTAAGTGGCCAACTGTGGTCACTTTAACTAAGGTCAAACTATCCTCTAAACCATGGTCTTACTATACTGTTACCATGATCAAACAATGAGTGACTATTCTTTGGAACAGTAATCACAGTTTTGTCACAACTCCTCCATCATTCCTTCCCCCACCTTCCATCCTTAAAATTTGGATAGTCTTTCATATTTCCCTGAGCAGGGGATCTGAATGACTATATCATTGTTTTCTGTGGGAATAAGCACATATAATTTCTAGGTTACCATTTTTGGCAAGTAATGTTAAAAATCTAACTTGACTGAGTAGAATGTAATTGGACACCAGGACAAGAACTTTATATTTCCATTGGGATAATTCATTCTGAGGTATCCAAGTTTTTGTTTGTTTGCAATCAACAACAATTTTATTTGCTATGTTGTCTTTGCTGTTTATGATGAAAGCATCAGTATACATATGTATATATGAAATAAATGAAATTGTGGCCAAGGTAACTTTTTTCCAAATGCATCTACTTGGAGTCAGACTTTGGACTACAGCTTCTTACCACAGGGACCTGTGAATTTGTTTAAGCTGTATTTGGACCTAAACTAAGGTGTTCAGAGTAATTTTACATGTTTTAGGGGTTTAAATAGAGTTTCGGTATGATCATTGGGGGTGTCATTTTTACCGAAAGTCGATATAAACCCCTAAAACATGTAAAATACTCTAAACACCTTAGTTTAGGTCCAACTACAGCTGAAACAAACTCTCAGGTCCCTGTGCTTCTTTTAAGTTCAATGATTTTTAAGTTGAGCTGAAAGGAAATTCCTTCTAGCTGAGTCAGTACAAACAGCTAGATATGGTTCACTGTTGTAACATATCTGTAGTCCCCCTCCTGGAAAGAACCAATCCTTGGGTAATCCACCAAGTACATTTATAATACTTGTAAAAACAAGCGTTAGACAACTACATGGGCGCCAATATAGCCGAGGTCAAAGTTCCTCCACTAGGGGTCGAACCTCCGACAACATACTGTATACCAAGACATTTTTGCTGTAGTTTAATTTTCGACTATTTCATCCTCTGTAATGAGGGAGAATTTATCATTAGAGCGACTAGTAGTAAACAGCATGATAACTTAGTAATTGAATGTGAAGGCGAAATTAACACTGGGCGAAAAGTTTGACTGGGCGAAAATGTCCTGGTATATGGTGCTATTATCCAGTGCTCTACCGTCATCGAAAGGGAAATTCCCTGTCCGAGTCTGTAACAAATGAGTAGCTAGTTCACCAATGTGACATCATTGATGTTTTACGATTCAATGATAATGATTTCGTTCTGTGTTGTCATCTCTGATATCTATCATCATATTGCTGTGCGATGTAACAATGTAAGGAATTATGTACAAAGCAAATGACTGTCAGATCCTACTGTCTCTTGTAGCATGAAGAATTTGAGATGATATATCGGTCCTTCAAGGAGATTCAGCAAGGTAAAGCCCTGCAGAAAGCACTTTTGTCCGGCCAGCTGCCAGACCACATAAAACTCCCAGGACATGAGAAGGCCGGAGGACCAGGCAATGCTAGTATGAAGTTCCATGGAGCCACCATGGAGTCAGTTCTGAACTACTATGTCCAGGCGTATGGACAACTGAAGAAGACTCCGGAGAAGAAACGAGGTGGTGGCTATGTAGTGTCGGAGACCACGGAACATCGAGCCAAGTCTGTCTCCGTGACCAGTGTAACAGGAGACATGTCGGTAAGTTATTTTAAATCCAGTTGCTTGAGGCTTTATTAACTTAACAAGTCACTCAACTAAATGTATATCTTACTTTTTTTAAACAACTGTAAATTTACGTTTTAACTATTTCTAAACTTATGGTTATAGGTAAGAACCCCAAGATGCATCTTTAGATAAATAAATTTTTAATTTATCAATTATGGTTTCTTTATAACCTTCCTAAAAAGAAAGTTGGTTGACTTTTTAGGTCACCTGAGCTTTGCTCAAGTGACCTATTCCAATCACTTTCCGTCCGTCGTCGTCCGTCGTCCGTCGTGCATAAACTTTTACATAATCAACTTCTTCTCAAGAACCAGTGGATGGAATTTTTTCAAACTTGGTCAGAATCATCCTTGGTAGATGAGGATACCAAATTGTAAAATTGGGATTCCTACCCCAACCCTAGGGGCCAGGGCGGGGCCCAAAAGGGAAAATTAACCAATATTTCAAAAATCTTCTTCTCCAGACTCAGAGGTATTACAGTCATTTTCTCTGCATGGATGGAAAGATCATCAGGGG